CTGTATGGGGTGCATGGGATGTAGGGGGTATGGGAGGTGTGGGGGGTATGGGGAGGTGTGGGGGTGTGGAGGATATAGGGGATGTAGGGGGTATGGGGAGGTGTGGCAGGAGGTTTAGGATATATAGGAGCTGGGGAATGTAGGGTGTGCGGGGGGAGCGTAGGAGTAGGTAGGGGTCTACCTTAGACTTACAGGTTAGAGGGTATAGGGCAGGAATATATATAGGATCTGGGGGGTGTTGGGATGAGGGGTGTACGGGTCCAGGAGGTGTGGGGTCTAGACAGAAGAGAGGTATAGGGACTGGGGGTCTATAGGGCAGAGAGTTCTAAAGGGCACACGGTGTCTAGGGCAGGGTGTGTAGGGTATGTAGGGTGTAAGGGGTTTGGGATTGGGGATTGTGGGGAGTTTGTAGGGATTGGGTATATGGGGCAGGGGGGTGGATGTTATATGGCAAAGGGGTTACGGGATCTGGGGAGGCCCCATAGGGATCTGTGAGGCTTCACAGGGATCTGTGGGGTGCTGTAGGGTCCAGGGGCCCTATAGTGCCATGGGGGGAGGCTATAGGGATCTGTAGGGCTCTATAGGGCCGTGGAGAGGGATCTGTTGGATCTGAGTGGGTTCCATAGGGGCTAAGAAGGGTTCTATAGGGTCCAGGAGAGCTCTAAGGGTCCAGGGCTTTCTGCAGGGACCTGTGGGCCTCCATAGGGCTAGCAAGGGAGATTCTATAGGGACCATTGGGGTCCAGGAGTGTTCTGTAGAGACATCGGGGGTGGGTTCTATAGGGCCCTCCATAGGGCCGTCCCCTCCCCCTCCCCCCCGATGATTCACCCCTGCGGCAGAGGAGCCCTCCCCACTTCCCCTCCCCCCACCCTCCCGCCAGGTGACGTCACCTCAGGATCACGTGACAGTGGGGGGGTCTCCTACCGCAGAGCCCCCCCCCCAAATCTCCTCCCCCCTCCCCTCGATTCGTCCTTGGGATGGCCCCGCCCCGATGGAAGAGGATTGGGGGACACCCCCAAATGTGTCCCAGTGCCCCCCACACCTCCCTGTTCTCCCCCAGTGCCCCCCATTTTGCACCGCGTTCTCCCACTGCGCCCCATCGCCCCCCGCGGCGCCTCGCAGCGCCCACCAGCGCTCCCCATTACATCCCAGTGCCCCCATTGGGCCCCGCTGACCACCCCCAGCCCCCCCGTCGCCATGACGACGGTTGCCGAGTAACCGCGGCACCATCGCTCCAGCGCTGGTTGCCATGGCAACGGCAGCGTTTCCCTCATATTTCCCATTTCCCCCAATTTGCACCTCCTCCAACTTTTCCCATTTCCGCTTTTTCCCCGTTATTTCCCCTTTTTTAACCCACAGCCCCCACTTGTCCCCATTCCTCCCATTTT